AATGGTCATCTTTATGACCAGATCGACGGAGTGGCGATGGGATCACTCTAGGTCCGATCCTTGCAAATATTTTTTTTAATGTTATTACAAACGTCAATGGCTGGATAATTGCCCCCTTTCTTGCAAACCAGTATTATATAGAAGTACGTTGATGACACTTTTCTACTCTTTCACAACACTGATCACACCAAGAATTTTTAGAATACCTAAACTCACAACATTCATGTATAAACTTCACATGTGGGATGGAAGAAAACAATAACTTAGCTTTCTTAGATGCCCAAGTAAACAAAATGAACAATCTTTTTACCATAAAAAAACATTTACTGGCTTATACACTCGTTTCGACAGTTTCATACCAGATTTCTTCAAACATAACCTTCTAAGTTTTCTAAACAGAGCATATAATATCTGTTCTACTTCTTTCTTCATTCAGAAATTTCAAAAATTCATAACATATTACAAAGTAATGGTTATTCCCTTAATTTCTCTCACACCATCACAAGAAAATTTGTAACAAATAAAATAGAACCTACAAAAAGTCACACACACAGTCTCAAAATATTCCCTAGTTCTTATCACTTCTTCTGTTGCCAAACAAAGTTTTAAACTCAAATATCAAATTGAAAAAATAATCAAAACAAATTACTTACAAATTAAACTATGTTTGGTATTTATGTCCACATTTAGAATTAAAAATATGTTTGAAACCAAAGACACTCTACCCATTCCTATGTGCTGATGGGTTGTATATGAATATACTTGTGGTAGTTGTAAAATTACCTGTATTGGTAAAACTTCACGACACCTACAAATACATGTAAAATGTGTTTCTCATTATTAATATTTACATTTTTAATTTTATCAAATAAAATGTTAAATAATTTATTTAATAAAATGGCTGGTTGTTTAATAATTGTTTTTATTGAACTAGAAATAAATCTAAATTTAATCAGAGATTTATATATGTTCAGGAATATCATACAGAAAAGGTAAATCTGCAAAAGAATTTGGCTTAGAATAAAGTTTTCTATAAGTTTCAATGAAATTATTAATTGCTGTATCTTTGGTTAATAAGCTTAAATGTTTGTGTACTATTGATTTCCTTTATCATAATTGATGCATAAAACTTTTTACAAATAAATCTAAAATTACAATTAGCTTTATCAATGGGATCTATAACATTTTTCTTGCAATTCTTAAATCTTATTTTTTAACTGATGAAACGATAAATCTATATGGTATTTCTTTAATTTTATATAGGATAATTTAAATCTTATATTTTGAAGTAAATAAAACTTCCATTCCAAAAATCATCTGGGTGGGTAAGATGTAATATAGTTAAGTTTCAAATGTATTCATCAGTATTGTTTTCAACAGATTTTAGAATATTTTGATTATTATATTTCGTGGCAATTCTGTATTTAGATACTTTTTTAAGTATTTCACATAATAGTTTATCTTTTATAATTTCCAAGTTACCAGTGATAATGTGTTTATGAAAAGTATCAATAAATGAACCATTTTCACACTCACAAGGTAAATTATTAACTTTATCTACATTTAAATTAATTAAAAAACTCTTATAATTCTATAATAGTGGACCAACTGGAGCTTTGTATTTATAACTAACAGTAAGCTTTACGTTTTTACAAGGAGATGTGGGTGCTCTCCTATTTCTATTTTTTTCATTATTTTATTTTTATGAATTTCTTTATGTGAGAATGGCAAATGGAGGTTAGGATTGATAGATGGTGTATCCCCACTGTAATGTGGGTCCTACTTCCACAGTCACCTCCAAAACCCACAGCACATTTTATATCCCACATTATATACACTGGGGATCCTTTTAATTTATACAGCATCTTTAATTTAATTTTTGTTTGGGCTTGTTTTTGTTCATTTAAATGTTATTCATCACAGGTTTGGATTTGTATTTTTTACTGCAGTCCTTCCTTTTGATTTTATTTTGCTTGACTGTTCAAGTATTAATTTTCTATACATACATACATACATACATACACACACACACACACATTTTCGATAGGAACTTAAGGTTTTGATTAAATTAGAAAGCATATACACATAATGTTTTTATTATATTGGGCCACATGTTATAGTGCTGCATACTACTAGAAGTGTGGATAGTTCACCATTTCATCTCCTTTTTTCTTCTCAATGGATTTACGCATATCACATGAATCAACAAAAAATTAGATTACAAAAATGGTGGAAATCCACTGATACACGGATGAATTTCATGCCTGATTTAATCAACACTGACAGTCAAATAAAATATCTATCGCACCAGAATGTGAATCACAGGCCCTCAGATTCACAGTCCAGCATGCTAGCCACTAGGTTACTATGGGCCCATCACATAAACACCAATGAAGGTGGGTCAAAAGTCATTAACTTAAAATACAATTAAAAAAGAGCAGAGAATCCATTATTATTAATATAAAAATTGCATACATATACATTGTTTATGGTTATAATAAATAATTAAAAACAACATTACTATTAGTCATATTAAATTTATACTACTATA